CTGGGTCAGACTGACGCGTGGTGGTTGTCAGTATATTTAAAACAGCAGTTTGGGAAAGTCCCCAGGCCACAGCCATTCAAGTCTAAGTGCACAGCAAAGCTGAAGGTGGGATTATGACCGTGAGGGTGGGTTCTATAGGTAATAGGCCTGGAATCTAGTGTGGTCACATGGACTGCAGGGTGGGTTCTGCTAACTGGAGCTAGGGAGGGAGAGACTGGGTTAAACATTCAGGGAAGCTTGGGTGATGTCCATCTCTATAGCACAAGGTGGGTGAGGTCTGTCCCACGGACAGCAGGTCACCAGGTATAAGCAACGTCCGCTCTTAGCCTTCTGGGTGGAATACAGGCATTTTTCCTTCCCCACTGAAGGGGCAACCCTGTGTGACTAACATTCCTGAATGTCTGTGGGTGCTCCCCGCACAGAGGGCCCTTAGGATACAGGGATGATGGCCTTCAGGGGGCCACTTGTAGGAGTTGGCCCTGGTGGGCCATGATGTTCTCACCCACTCCTTGCTGGCTTGAGTGGGAGAGACAAGCTTTGGGGTGTGACTGTCCTAGTTTGTGCAATTCATTCATCCATTTCACATACACTGTGATCTTTCAGTCTTCTGGGGTTTCTGGTCTGCTACTTCAGAATGTGAAGGAGCACAGGGTAGCAAGGACTGTGTAGATGACAACGATTAGGTTAGTTTGGGGGACACAATATCCACATCTGCTCAACACTGAGCCCGAGGCAAGGTTTCCCATAGCTTATGGACTCCCAACCGTGCCTGCTGTGACTAATTCCCACCCTAGGGCCTGGAGCCTCTTGCTGTGGCCTGGCATTCTGACAAAGGGGGAGTTGGCGAGGGCATTCATTATCAGAGTGACAGTTAGCAGCTGGTCCAGGTTCTGATGGGATGGCCAGGAGGGTCCTCAGTGCCCTGAGGTATGAGACCAGAGGCCCAGGTACAGGAGCCTGGGAATATAGGGCTGGCTTGGGAGATGGCTCCCATGGGTCAGGCCTGTCCAATGGTGCCCCCTGCAGGCCGCTTTACCTGATGGTTGATAAATGCAAGCTTGAGATAAATTCCCAGGGTCAGGAACAGAGGCCACTAGAGTATCAGCACAAATGTGCCTGTCCATATATACATAGGGCTACCATGGGGATTCCCTGTACCCCTCAGACATAGCTCAATTCTGTGATCTATCCTTGAGCACACCCCAGAAAGGCAGAGTCCATCTCAGATATAGAGGTGGATCTACCACTCCAGTGTGTTCCTATTTCCAGGTGGCCATCTCATACACCCTGCCTCTTTGAGGCCTTCTCCAGAGAGACAACAGACATGGATGCAGCCCACATCAGACAGAGGAGGATTCAGAAGAGGGAGTTCAGGGTAAGGTTTGGGTGTCAAGGCTTACAAACACCACTTTAGGCCTTCCAGAGACTGGGACTTTACTCGTCAGGACTCTGAGGGGTCAAGAGTGTTTGGTGTTCATTCTGGGCTGGGTGCAGCATCAGGAGGAGGCAGTTTTGGAAAGCCAGGCATGTGGATGGGGTAATGATGGTTGGCTCAAACATCCACTCGGAGGGTCCACTTAGCTGATGGTTGGCTCAAACATCCACTCGGAGGGTCCACTTAGCTCTCTTTATTATGTATACAGTATTCTGCCTGAATGTATGCATGCAAGCCAGAAGAGGGTACCAAATCTCATTGTAGATGGTTGTGAGCCATCATGTGGTTGCCGGGAATTGAACTCAGGACCTCTGGAAGAGCAACCAGTGCTCTTAACCTCCGAGCCATCTCTCCAGCCCCCCACTTAGCTCTCTTTAAAGGGTCTTGTTTGGCCCAGGGAGACAGCTTGGGTCCCACATTCTTACATGGTCTTGAAACTTCAGAGGTGACTGGGCTTCCTCTGGTGGGGTTCAAGCTTCCAGGAGCCACAAGCCTGGCCTGGGACTACTGATTAAAGGGGGGGGGGGTCTGTGGCTAGGCTATTCTTCTGGCCGTGAGCTTATTTTACTAGGCCTGTGAAAATAAAGTCACCATGAGCTGGGGAGAGGACTTAACCAAACAGCAATCCCCGAGGCTGGAGGCTAGGTACAGCTCACCTACTGTCTGGAAAAGCAGTTTCCTTGGCCTGTACTACCCATGGATTTTTGGGGGGTGGGGTGGGGTGCAGTGGTTTGAGACAAGTTCTTACTCTGTGACCTTGGTTGTTCTGGATCTATGCAGACAGTCACAAGAGATCCACCTGCCACTGCCTCCCAAGCGCTGTGCCACGCCTGGCTGACTCTTACTGTCAAGACCCCAGACACCAATTACTAAGGTCTCCCCTCCTCACACCGCCCTGCGGGGCTTCAGCACATACATTTTTAAGGAGACTCATTTTACCTTCGACAGCAGAGTTTGAGAGCTAGCTGGGGGAGCTGTGGCTTGGTGGGAATGGCCTCGGTGATGCTTCATTTCTGTGCACTGTGATAACTCCTTTCTTCCAGTTGCCTCAGGGCTTTTCCTGTTCCCATGTTCTGCTCTGGCAGGAGGCCCAAAAGCACCCACTGTGTTAATGTCAAGGGACACAGGGCGACGGAAGTCTGTCTCTGATGCTATGTGCCCAGCAAGGGTCATGTTTACTCATGGAGGACCAGCACCAGGGCCTCCTTCAGCCCCCAGGATAAATGCCCATTCAGCCATACAAGGCTCCTTTGTCCTAGAGTGGCTCGGCCCAGGCTGCTGCTGGGCTGCTGGTGTCCTCAGCATGGCCCCAGGCCAGGCTGGCTATCCTAATGCATCCAGCTGCCCTACAGGACTTTCTCTGGATAGACTTTGGCTTGGCTGGAAGAGGCCCCAGCAGGGGATAGGGCAGTTCTGGGAAGGACTGGAGAAGCCAGGCAGAGACAGTAAGGAGGCCTGGCTACAGACCTCTACCTCCCAAGACCTCCTTAACAGTGGCCCCAAGCAACAAGAAACCCTTGCAGCCATATTGCTGCCCCGCTTGTGGGTGAGCGCAAAGGATCCAGACACTGCCGGCCGGGCCCTTAAACCCAGGTGAGAAGCGCTGCCATGTACTCCATCTAGCTAGCCTTTCCCAGGCAGTGTGATTTCAATGAGCCTTGTCTGTGAAGTGAGCCTGGTTGGCTCTGCCATGCTCAGCAATTAAGAACCCTCTGGATGGAAGTGTACCTGCCCCACCTCTATGTAGGGCTGCTGTGGGGTGGGTCTTTGGCAAAGGAGTAGTAGCATGGTCCCAAGAGACCAGTCAGGAGGTCCCATGGATATGGAAGAACATGGTAGTGAGTCTGGGGGACTTGGACTGAGGCGGCCTAAAGCTCAGGTCTACCTGGCCCCAAAAGGCTGGTCAGGTATCTGTCCCAGTAGTGCCTTACCCAACTCTACTGGCTGGCCTTCTGTCTTAGCAAGACACTATCCTCCAAATATGTTTAACACAGGCCTCCTCTGGGCTTCTGAGCCTGTCCTCCAAAGGCCCTCACTTACCTCTATGTAGCTCACCCATATTCCTGGCCTCAATTCTACCTACGCTGCACAGCATCATCCTTCTTGTCCATGTACCGTGGTCCATGACTGGCTTTTTAACTCCTGCTGTAACTGAGGACCTTCAAAATCCCGCTGTAGACTAGTAAGTAGTCTCCGAAGCAGGCCCTGTGACTGTGGCCTGGTTAAGGGCTGCTTACTTCTGGAGTGGGGACTTAGCCTGGGTCTCTCTCTGGTTGGGACCTACACTCACTCCCTATTGAGAGGAAACACTGCTTCAAGTTCAGCTACAGGCCTAGGCATCTGTGCCCACATGCTGAGCTCCAGCCGCTACAGCAACAGTACTGTTTTTTTTTTTTTTTTTGGTACTATAGGGCCAGGCTAGCATATGATGGGTTCTTTCTTGTGAGGCACTAACCCTGATTGCAGCTTGACTTGAGATGGTCTACTTAACCTCAGTTATACACTGAGCTTTTATTGTCTGTGCTGGTGTGTGTTCCATGGTCCACAGATGCCTTTATTATCAGCAGGGCAGTGGAAGCTGGAAACCAGCAGGAGCTGCCAGCTTGAGACAGTACTTCTTTCTCAGTGAAGTGTGTTTGGGCTTCTGCTACATGGAGTCTCTATTCCATAAACTGTTTGCCTTAGCAGCCAGAGATGTATACCCTTCTATACCCTTGTGGTACTCTAGTACCTGGAAGACAAGCTGTCAGGCCAGGACCAAACTCATCAAGCCCTGGCTACTTAGCTTTTGGTTTTAAGTAGGAGCTTAAAAGCTTATTTAGCTTTTGATTTTATAGTCTGAAGGTCTCAGGGATAGGGTGCCTCTCACCCCAAGCTATGTGGCTGAGTAGATGGCTGAAAACTGGGTAGGACTATCAAGGCCCACTATCTCCTATGTGCTCATTCTCTAGGGGGAAGAGCTAAGTGGGCTCATGAGGTGCTGCTACAGCCACGGAGAAAGGATGGCTGACAGGCCTAGTGGTAATGTCTTTCTTTAGACTCAGGCCAGTGCTGGGCTTTGTGTAGCTAGTTCTTCCAAGAGATAACTTTCCATATCGGACAGAAGCTCCTTAAGATACAAGATGTTTGGCTAGAGAGATGGCTCAGAGGTTAAGAGCACTGTCTGCTCTTCCAGAGGTCCCCAGGCACCACATGGTGGCTCATGACCATCTATAATGAGATCTGGTGCCCTCTGCTGGCATGCTGCCTCACATGCAGATAGAATGCTGTATAAATAATAAATAAATCTTTGAAAAAATCTATATAAGAAAAAAAAATACAGGATGTTCTAAAAGGGGGCGAAACATTACTTTCTGCAGGGAACCTCCTTAAGCTAAGTAACTAACTCAATAGCTTCAGGAGGTCTCAAACTAACCAGATTTTCTAGACCCTGCCTCCCTTTCAAAGTTGTATAACTTTGTATAACTTCTCAACCTCTGGGTGCAAACCCATTGGGTCAGAGGATTCCCTAATATAGGAAAGCACAGATATTTACATCATGTTCTTAACAGTAGCAAAATGACAGTTATGAAATAACAACAAAAATAATCTTATTGTTGAGGGTCAGTACAATCTGAGGAACCATATTAATGGGGCACAGCATTAGGAAGGGTGAGAACCACTGTTACGTAGGGACTGCAGAGAGGCACTTTCAAACAAGCTGAATTAACTGGGAAAACAGACACAAAAATGAACTTGATTTAAATGACAGGACCTGGGTTAACTCTGAGTTTGAAATTAAACTTTAGTCTTTTCAAAATAATGTGACTTAGAAATAGGGGTTAAAAGACAACACAAAAGAGAGAACACAGACAGACAAAGACAAGGACAGACAGACAGAAGAGGGCTGGTGATAGGCTTTGCTTAGATCTTCTCCATCTTAGAGATGAGGTCATCACAGATCCTGGTCAGCTCATCATTTTCTTTAGTCTGAAGGAGAAAAGATGAGGCTGTAGGGAGTGGTAACTGGCTAGGAGGGTCCCACCCATCTCAATTAGGAAAGGAGACCAGAAAGGAAAAGGCTGGCCCTGGACTTCCTGAGAGATATAGCCAGGCAATCTCTGTATCAAAGCCAGTTCCAGAGCAAGGCCTTGCCCTACCTTCTGCTCCACAGTCTTCTCCAGTGACTGGATCTGCATCTGTGCCTTCCTCAGGCTTGCCTGGAAAGCCAGTGCCTCTGCTTGGGCCTTGCTGCGTACTTGGGCAATCTCCTCATTTGCACTTGACGGGGAGAAATAGACACAGGGTAGGCCTAGGCCAGGAACAAGCTAGCCAGCCCATACTCCCTCCCAGGATGGGTATCTGGTACTTACAGATTGAGCTTTTCTTCTGCATGGGCCTTCAGCGCCTGATACCTCTGGCCTTCTTTTCCAATCTTCACTATATATTCTTCAACACACTTCTTCAGGGACTCTTCATTCTTGAGAATGAACAGATAGGAACATTAAAGGCACATTGTTCCAACAAAGCCAGAGCCCTGTCCAGGCTTGGCATATGGGGACTCTCAGAGTCTGGGTGCAGACTGGACACTTAAGGCTTTTGGGGACATTAGTGATAAGAACCTGGCATTTTTCCTTTAGAAAAAGCCTTTTAAATTGGGTGTGGTGGCACATACGTTTGAGCCCAGGAGGCATCCCTGTGAGTTCAAAGCCAACCTGGTCTACTTTACACAGAGAAATCTGTCTCAAAAACCCAAAAAGAGAACTGGAGAGAGGGCTCAGCCGTTAAGAGCACTGGCTGTTCTTCCAGAGATCCTGAGTTCAATTCCCAGGAGCCACCATTATAATGTGACTGATGTCCTCTTCTGGCATGCAGGTGTACATGCAGATAGAGCACTCATGTATATTAAATAAATAAATCTTAAAAAAAAAAAAAAAAAAAAGGAAAAAGCCTCTTGATATCCAATTATAGTCTATCCCACCTTCAAGTGCAGAGCTTCTGGAATTCCACCTTTGGGAGCTGGGCCTGATGCCCAGACCCTATATCAGGCATCCGCTACTGCTCGAGAGTATAAGACATGAAGAGAACCACTCACGCTATGAGCTGGTAGCAGCACAATCCTGAGGGATATATGCTCCCCCACAGCATTCTTTGGGCCTCTCAGACTCACAGTTTGACTGTGGAGGGTCATGTAGCAGGGGTACTAGAGTTCAGTAGCTGGCTTCTGAAATGACGTGTTTTCTATACTAGACAACATGGGGAAAGTCCAGACTTTCCCAGTTTTCCCTTTCTTGCAAGATATCCCTGAGTCAATCATCAACTGTACTCCAAACTCCACCTCTCAAGAGCACCAATCTCTGCCAGTTTTTTTTTTTTTTTTGCGGGGGCGGTGATGGTTAATGGAGATTGAGCCAAGGGCCTCATGTATGCCAGACATACTACCACTGAGTGGGGAAACCCTGTCTCCTCCCACAAGCCTTGGAAACCTATGTCTCCCAGAGCTGGCTGCGCTCTTCCACCAGAATCTACTGGGTGCAGCTTGTCTTGTTGCTAGGATATCACACAGCCTGGTGCCAAGGACAAGTACAGTCAAGGACCCAGGTACACATAACACAGCTCATGGCTGCACAGCATGGACTATGCCCCATAAAAAAAGAACCCTTGGGCTGGAGAGACCAACCCTTGGGCTCAGAGGTTAAGAGCACTGGCTGCTCTTCCAGAGGTCCTGAGTTCAATTCCCAGCAACCACATGGTGGCTCACGGCCATCTGTAATGAGATCTGATGCCCTCTTCTAGCCTGCAGGCACACATGCAGACAGAACATTGCATAATAAATAAAATTTAAAGCACATAAACAAAACAAGGACCCTTAAAGGGGATATAACACACCTTTCGGTAGCCTTCAATCACTTCCTTCTGCTTCTCAAAGCGCTTGAAAAGGTCAGAGAAGGATTTCTCCATAGAGCTCAGGTCTGCGGTGAGCTGGTCTCTCTCCTTTAGGACCTTCTGGATTTTGTCTTCAGCCAGTTCCTTCTGTTTCTCAGCCTCCTCTTAAAAAAGTTAAGCACCTGGGATTAGGAAGCAAGCACTTCCATGGACCAGAAATAGCACTAAAACAAGGGGTTAGACAGAGCAGAAGGAGAGATGGGTAACCAGGAACAGGTGCATTAGGTATGGACACTAGTGATCTGTAACACCACAAGCCCGTAACCCCACTCAGTGTAACACAGGCCCAGAACACAGTTGCTTCTCCCATGTCAGCCTCATAATGAACTTGGCCTAGGACCCAGCAGTGAGATGCTCCATAACATCAGCAAGACCTGGAAGAAGCAAGTACCAGTGTGGAAGACTTTTTTTTTTTTTTTTACTAATTTATTTATGTATATGAGAGCATTATCTGTATGTACACGTGCATGACAGATCACAGCATCAGATCCCATTATAGATGGTTGGGAGCCACCATGTGGATGCTGGGAATTGAACTCAGGACCTCTGGAAGAGCAGCCAGTGCTCTTAACTGCTGAGTGACCTCTCCAGCCCCAGTGTGGTGGACTTAAGGTCCATGTGAGGGCATGGGTCATATGGTTTATGGGTTTTGGGGAAAAAGAGCAGGAAGAGACCCATCACTGTTGGCATGATAGAACCCTATAGGGACACCTGTATTTCCACTCTGATACTTAAATTATCCCTGGGAAGGGAAGGCAGGACAGGGCACAGTGTGACAAGCTGCATGGCATCTGTCCCTCATTAGAGTTTTGGCCATTAGCTGTTCAGTGAACATCAGTCACATGGGTACCTCACACTCCATTAAACCCTCACACCTTCAGTGGCTGCGGAGCATGGCTTAGAAGAAATGGACAGTACACGGTTACCTCAAACACAACAGGAGGGACGCAGCTGGTACTCACCCATTGACTTGTACACGATCTTCTCAAACCCGTCCACAATCTTCCTATAGAAGGAGAGAAGGTGAGTATCCGTGGCTCATTATGCAAGCAGACCTAGGTCAGCATTGGTGCCTGTCTTACCCCATTTCCAAGTACTTTGCGTTGAGGTCCTCATACTTGCTTTTCAGCTCTAGGTTCTCCTGTTGTGCTGCACTCACCTACAAAAAACCACACACCCCTGGCTTGGCAGGTGGGCCACAATCACAGGCTTTGGGGTATTTTTCCTACTAGGGGTTGTTTCAGTCACATCCAAGGTGCCTGCAGACATGTTACTGAGTTATAGGGACTCCAGTCATTAAGGTACGTGGGGCTGCTGGCCATGCTCATGAGGAGAGCTTCTTCGGTGGAAGCTCCTCCTCCCCACCCAGGGATTATCTCTTAATGTGTGACTCTATAGCCACAAGGGGGCTCCCCAAACCCATTCCAGTTGGCTGGATATAAGCAAGTACCACAGGCCCAAGATCAGGGCTCTCCCAGTGCTGGTCATTGACCTCTGAGACAGGAGGATGTGGGAAATGCCTGTAGGCGGGCTGTGGGCCAAGTTTCCCAAAGCAGCTACAGGCCTGTTCTCACCGCTGCATCCAGGTCTTTCTGGCTGTATTGCAGCACATCTACAATAGGCTCAGCAGGAAGCAGACCTCTCGGTTCAAGGACACATAGGGGTGGGCCGGACACCTGTGTGGTAAAACATAGGCTCTTATGATCTCATCTCTTTAGACAACTAAAAATGCTCCAAAGATATTTAAATGCTTACAGCAACATCCAGAGTGCCCACGAAATCTAAATCCACAAGCTTGCCTTCCATCGGATTTCCCGAGCCAGACTCATTTGTATCCTGTGTACTAAAACCGAACAAGCAGCAAGATTACCTCATGCTCTGAGTATTGAATAGGGCATAAAAGTCAGTTGTGTTGTTTACTTAAGAAGCTTTGTATTTGGTCTTAGTCTAAAAACAAATAGGCTTAGAGTTACAGACCAGGGCCTGGCAGTTACTGTCTCAAAACCCCCTTCCCTCCCCATCCCTATGTGCCATGCCTGATGCATAGCAGGCTATGCAGACATGGCAGACACCTTACTAGGTGTCCTCAAGAGTGCACAGGGGAAAATACCTCGTTAGAGGGGGCAAATCCTTCCTTCCTTGTTTTTAAGAGTTTGGTGTTAGATTTAGCAAGTAATTCTCAATATTACGTGACTACATTTTCTTTCAAAATAGTAGTTTTCTCACAAACATCAGATTTGAAGGCTCTATGGCTTCTGTCACAACTATTCAGATCTGTACAAGCTGTCATTAAGAAACAGGCATAACTGTGAAACTAGAATTCCACTTAGAAAAACAGACTGTGTAAACCAAACCAAACCAAACCCCAGACTGTCTGACCTGGGCCAGCCTGAAACCCCTAATTGTGCATTTACTGCTTATATCTTCTGGGTGGCCTGTGTGAACAGAGCATGGCAGAGCTCCTTAGTAAATCACGGACTACCTGATATGAGGCTGGCTCTAGGCTCACTGTCCTGTTTGTCTACACCATTTAGTCTGGTTGTGATTAGCCCTTTTCTAGAAGTTTTGAATCAGTACACTTAATAACAGCCACTAGACTCCTTGGCTCATGCTAACAGCTTTAAAGAAGGGAGGGACATACCTATTTGTCACCGGGACCACTGGCATTGGCCGCAAAGGGCTCTCTTTCAGGAGGGGGTCAAATTTCAAGTACAAAGACTGCTTCCTCCAGGCTGACTCCTTAAACTGAGAGTTGGAGAGATGGACAAGGAAAGTCATCAGGATTCACCACTGCTTTAACAGATACATCCCCAGGAGCCAGGGTAATCTGGTTGAGCAAAGGGGGCTGGGAGACCACAACACCTTGATGGGTCCAGGATTATCTGGGAGGGGCACCTGGGTCAGGATTCTGCTGCAAAACAGGGCTCTTAGACTCAGACATGACCAGTCACATTACAGGAACTGCAGGATGCTCCCGACACCAAAGATAAATGGCCCGGGCTGACTGGGTTACACATTAGTTGTCATAAAGGTCTAAGGACTTACCGAGGAGGTTCCAAACTGCTCCAGATAATCAAATTCCAGGCCAGTACCTAGAACTGAAACAGTGAATAATAGGAGCCATCTACCTCAAATACTGTAGGCCCTGAGGACTGTATAGCAAGTGTTGTTTGAAATAAATTTAGAGATTGTTTCCAGCAGTCAAACTAGCAGCTTCCCTGCTTCTGTAAGGCCCAGCCAAGGCCCTAGTTTTGGACAGGAAGAGCAGTCCTTTCTTTCTCACTTCATAGTAACGACACTTAAAAAAATTCTACCCAAGGGGCTGGAGAGATGGCTCAGCAGTTAAGAGCACTGGCTGTTCTTCCAGAGGACCTAGGTTCAATTCCCAGCACCCATATGGCAGCTCACAACTGTCTGTAACTCCAGTTCCAACCCTCACACAGACATACATTCGGGCAGAACACCAATGTACATAAAATAAAAAAATAAATAATAAATTATATATATACATATATGTATATATATAAAACTTCTATCCAAGGCTGATTGAATGTGAAGATATGAAACCCACAGAGATCCAACTGTTACTTTTCTTTCTGGAGACTGGCTCTCTACTCCAAGCTGGCCTTGAATTAAACTCCCTATGTAGCCCAAGAGGACCCTGAAAAAAAAAAATTTTTTTTTTTTTTGGATACAGGGTCTCTGTGCAGCCCTGGCTGTCCTAAAACTTGAGCTATAGACCAGGCTGAACTCAGAGATCTGCCTGGCTCTGCTGGGATTAAGGGCCTATGCCACCATACCAGGCTGGTCAAGGTGTTTCATCACAGCAATAGTAACCATACCTAAGACAATACCCCATCTTTTAAGGACCAAAAGGTTTGTATTTATTTATCCAACCTTCTTAAAACAGGGTTTCTCTGTGTGACAGCCCTGGCTAGACTCAAACTCAAGGAGATCCTCCTACCTCTCCTACCTCCCTAAGTGCTGTGATTAAAGATGTGCACCACCATGCCTAGCTGGGACCAAAAATTTATATGTGAATTAGCCAAGGAACAGCCTGTGGGATAATTACCGCAACCTGCAGGTACATAAGCATGTACTGGGGACTTTCGGGGAAACCTATATTGACACCTTAGGGCCACATACCTTCTGCTGGGTCTCTGAAGGTCTCTTCCTTTGGGTCTAAGATAGGCTCTGGTCCCTGATGGGAAGGTTTCAGCCCTGGCTCAGCAGGATGAGCCATCTGTTCAGCATTCAAGATAGGCTCTGGTTCCTGATGGGAAGGTTCCAGCACTGGCTCAATAGAAGGGACCATCAGCTCATTGTCCAAGATAGGCTCTGGTTCCTGATGGGATGGTTCCAGCACTGGCTCAATAGAAGGGGTTATCAGCTCAGCATTCAAGATAGACTCTGGTCCCTGATGGGAAGGCTCCAGCACTGGCTCAATGGGAGAGGCCACCAGCTCACTGTCCAAGATAGGCTCTGGTTCCTGATGGGAAGGCTCCAGCACTGGCACAATGGGAGAGGCCATCAGCCCACTGTCCAAGATAGGCTCTGGTTCCTGATGGGAAGGCTCCAGCACTGGCTCAATGGGAGGGACCAACAGCTCACCATTCAAATTAGGCTCTGGTCCTCGATGGGAAGACTCCAGCAAAGGCTCAGTGGGAGGGACCATCAGCTCACTGTCTAAGATAGGCTCTGGTTCCTGATGGGAAGGCTCCAGTACTGGCTCAATGGGAGGGGCCACCAGCTCAGCATTCAGGAAACTTGTAGAAACTGAGGTGCTTGAGGAATTCAAGATTCCCTCCTAGAGGAAAGTCAGTATCAGCATGCAGTGAGGTTCTAGGTGATGCAGAGCCCCACCCACTCTCCTTAAAATAAACCCAGGTAAGGAGGCAGCTCTAGGGAAGAGATAGTAGTGTTGTCTCCTACCCTGTCACCTGACACCTGCTGGCTTCTGCCATATTTATTTTTCTTTTTCTATACAGCATATACTAATGGTGACAGCACCTATCCATACACACATACATACCTGTAGCTCGCCTTCTGCTCTTAGGATCTCAGCTGCCAACTCAACAGGTGTGTCATCCACTGGGGCTAGAGGTGGCTGACTGTAAAGACAGAGTCATCAGAAGTAGGTCTTCCCATGTTCCCTCTATTATTTACCTCCCTCTTACATTGGTTCACTTGAGCAGTAGCTCATGCTAAAAGGTACATGAAAGTTATGAGACAGTTTCTCTGGAGGTAACAGACTATTTGGCTCCTATAATGACAGCACCTAATTTCAGTTAACAGCTGCCTCTTGGAATACCTAAGGACAGTGGCTTGCTGTGGTACCAACTGGCTTTCACCTGAGTGGTAGCCGATGCTCTTCCCCCATCCCAGTGTCGGGGGCTGGAGAGATGGCTCAGAGGTTGAGGACACTGGCTCCTCTTCCAGAAGACTCAGGTTCAATTCCCAGTACCCACATGGCAGCTCACAACTGTCAACTCCAGTTCCAGGGGATCACGCAGACATATGTGCAGGCAAAACACCAATGCACATACACATAAATAAATTATTGGGGGGGGGGGTCTTACTACAGACAAATCTGGCTTCAAACTCGATCTGACTTCCTTGGCCACAGTGTTAGGGTTAGAGGTAAAACTACCTGTACTGTTTTTGTTGCTAGTTAAGCTGTGCATATGCTGTTGTGCTTCAAGTAAGAATTCCGGAACACCTCTCCCATGGTCTTGGAATAAGGACTCTGAAGTTGTGCCTCTGTAGTTTTGGACAAACATGAGACCTGTTGCCTTCAACTATGAAGGGAAGTAGTATTCTGGCTACATAAAAAAGTAAGTGGCATTTCTGGAATTAGGCCCCAGATCACAAACACCATTAAGCAGCTGCTCCTGACACGACAATGTTCTCCTTTCCTATTTACTGGCTTGGAGAGTTCTCCATGTCTGTAGGCCCAGCACTCTGCTATTCAGACACTGCTATTCAGACATAGGCAAGGCCAATCTGTTCCTGGGGCTTTCTGGGAGCTTAGCCTAGCCTTTTTACCAGTATATTTGGTGTTACCTCCAAAAGGATTAGTTTGGGTCATCCAACTTTTCCCAGGTAAGGTGGTAAGAGCCCCAGGAAGGAGGCTGGGGACATTTCATCTCTCTCTATCTGGTCCCATCTTTTTCTTCTGCTTCTTTGGGGGCCTGCTTCTGGCTGGCCTCTGATTTTCTCAGGAGAGGCTGGAGGCCAAGTCTCTTTGCCAGTCTCCTTGGTGAAGACACCTTTGTGTTGTTAGTATCATCAGAGAAGTCAAATTCTAGACTATGGAATCACGACTTGAATGGATAACTATTAGGCCAGTGGCTTCTTCTTGAGCACTTAGTTCTGTGGCCCCATCTGCCTAAAAAGGGCCAGTTGGGATTGAGTTCTTAGAACTAGATGAACACAAACGGAAAAGGGTCAGGGTGCCTGCTGCTGGCTCAAGAGTGTCTACAATCTTGGGGCAGGCTGAGGCCTATACATCAGGTCTGAGGTGTTATGTTTAGCTTTACTAACTAAACTGGTTCTGTGCTAAATAAACTCCTACTTAAGCTGCCTATATCTCCCTTGATTGAATCCATTCTTTCATAAGATAAGAACTGCAAGATGCTACTCTACCTCCTTGCTGTACTTGGACATACTAACTAGAGATACACCCTGAAAAATCAAATACCTAGCCAATCACTGCTCTTCCCCAAACCCTCCATCAAATAAGCTCCATGAGTTGCCACCTGGGCATCCCATCCTTAGTATATAGGCTTATCAGAGTACTTTAAGAGCACTGTCTACTCTTCCAAGCGTGCTGAGTTCAGTTCCCAGCAACCACATAGTGGCTCACAACCATCAATACTGGGATCTGGTGCCCTCTTCTGGCATGCAGATAGAGCAGTCATATATATAAAAATAAATAAGTAATCTTAGTGTTGGACTTAAACATCAATCTCATTGAATTTCAAAAAGCACAAAATGAAGTTGTAAAGTAACAAGGACAACAGAAAAGACAGGTTTAGGGGTGCTTTGATAGGAGAGAGATGGCACACAGCCCAAAGAGATGTCATGACATTAAAGTCAAGAGAACAGGAATGATGTTTTATTCCTTATACTTTTCTCTATATGTAAAATAAAACATTAGAAAAAAGCTTCAACAGCTGAATGAGTAAAACCAGAACAAAATCATAATAGAGCCCCCTTCTGCTCTGGATAAAGATGTATTTCTTGTTTTTTATGTAATTGACTTTTACTTTACATGCATTGGTGTTCTGCCTGCATGCATATCTGTGTGAGGGAGTCAGATTCCCTTAAAGTGGAGTTACAGACACTTGTGAGCTGCCATGTGGGTGCTGGGAATTGAACCCAAGTCCTCTGGAAGAGCAGCCATGTCTCCAGTCCTAAAGATGTATTCTTGGAACCAGACTGGTGAGTGCTAATTCCAAGGACCCCCTTTCTAGGTAGAATGTTAGCATCTGCTTGTTGTTTTAGTAAGATTCCTGCCAGAGAAATGCTAATATAGCTATGGATGAAGCTTCTCATCATCCTTTTAGCTACATGTTTTTTTTTTTTTTAAAGTATTTTTACTTCATATGCATTGGTGTTTTGCTTGCAAATTTATCAGTGTGAGGGTGTCAAACCCCCTGGCACTGGAGTTACAGACAGTTGTGAGCTGCTGTGTGGGTGCTGGGAATTAGAAGAGCAGCCAGTGGGCTCACCACTGAGCCATCTCTCCAGCCCCACACTTGTTCTCACTAGTTCCTCTTTTGTGTGTGTTTTGCATATAGATATGTGGCTGCACATGCACAGAGTGCATGCAAGGTATATGTACACTGTGTGTGTGTAAATGTATAGGAAGCCAGAAGGCAACACCTGATATATTTCCTCAAACATTCTTCACTTCATATCTTGGATCTCACTGATTTGGCCATAAAGCCCAAAGATTCTCCTATCTCTACCTCACTAGGACTAGAATTAAAGGTGTACAATGCTGTTCTGGGCTTGGGAGCCATCTCCCAAGCCCCGATTAATTGGTTGTATGATAATTTCTCTGCCTATGAGTTCTGTTTGCTCTCTCCAAGTGCTGAGCATGGGAAGGAGGCAAGTGCTAATTTCAAGCAGAAGGGAGAGATAAGCAGAACTCAATAGGAAGGAAACAATAGATAATTTTTCTGGAAATAAGATCTCATTATCTCATCAAGTTAGAGAAATAAAGACTGGGTAATAGAGGCACAGCAAGAGCGAAGGATGGAATTAAAACAATCCAACTACCTGATGATACCTCTCCACTGACAACTGTACCAGATATTGCGCTTAAGGACAGTGTCAGGGAAAAAAAAAAAAAAAAACACCTCCAGATATGACAGGATTGAAGACTTTTGCAACAAGCCTCAGAAAGGATTAGAATCAAATGTCATCGACACTTACTTCTCTTTCTGTAAAAAGACACAGCAAGCGTTTTCTAATCCGATATTGTCATCCAAAGCAAAAGGAGTCTCAAGTTTGCTGGTCATTTTAGGACTTAAGATCCTGTGTGTCTGTGGATCCCGAAGAGGTGTCTGAAAAGTCACCTAGTGAAACACGAGGAAAGTGCACATGCTCCGTAACACAAGCCCTCACAAGCAAGCCAAAGTGCTACAGCTTAAGGTTCTAAGAAAGCCAATCCCACGAGTGCCCATGAGTGCACACATACCTTGGCTGCTTTAGCCTGGTTCTTGGGTGGTACATTTTCTTTCTGTGACAGACAAAGAACAGAGGATCTTCCGGTAAGCTCTGGTTGTGAAAACAGGAAGTCACAGCTTTCTGAATTCTTTTCACTGGGGACATTTTCGTCATTTAAGATATGCAGACTCATTCTGGAAAGACAGACTATGTTTTAGTCACTAGGAGGGTCCTGCAGGCCCTGTGCAGGAATGCCCCCCAAGTAGAGCAGGGAGATGTGCTCTTCCTGAAGAGGGGTAGCCAGTACCCTTCACAGGTATGGTTACTTCAAGTAGGTGTCACCTGTCAGAGCTCAGAGTCCCTTGTATTGCATCAGGTATACTGCCACATCCTGAGCCAACTGCTAAAAAGGGGCAGGTAGAGAGAGAGAACCAGGTATGTGGAGTGATTCCCATTAATGTATTACACTGTAGGGCAAGAGCTAGGGACTATGAGGCTGGCTTTAAGAGAACCAAAGAAGCCGGGTGGTGGTGGAGCACACCTGTGGTCCCAACACTCGGAGAGGGAGAGGCAAGGGCAGAGGACCATGGGTTCTCAGGCGTGAGACCTTGGGAGCTCTGGTTGAAGAGTTAAGAGGAACTGACAAAGGTCATAGAAAAGAGAAGCTATTGCTGACTGCTTTAGGAGCCATGAGGGAAGAGGGAAGGGACAGAACCAGAGGGTCTTGTAGCCAGAGAGGTATGCTGGGTTGCTCAGCAAGCCACACAGGTTTTGGGTAAGGAAAAAAAAAAAAATCAGTAACAATGGTTAGGATTTTTGGCCTGAAGCACTGGCTATCAGAAAGCATGGGGAAAGGGCACTGGAATGGCTGTGGCACTCATGAGCATAGGCCTTTGGACTGTATGGCCTTAGGTGAAGTCTTTCAGGCAACAAGGTGTAAACACAGCTGGTTCAGCTTTTTGTTTAGGATGGGATTTTTGGGGGTGGGAGGGGAGTGTATATGAAGCGGAGGCCAAAGGTTGACATGAGGTGTTTTCTTCACTTGTTCTCTACCTTATTAGCTTCTCTGTCTGAACCTGGAGTTCATTCATTCGGCAAGACTAGCTGGCCAGCGAGCTCCAGGGATGCTCCGGCCTGCTTGCCCAGTGAGTGGTAGAATTACAGGCAGGTGCAGCCATGCCACACAGTCTTTAGGTGGGTGCTGAAGACCTGAACTTAGGTTCTGGTGCTTGTTCGACAAGCATGTTACTGACTGAGCCATGTCCCCAGACTCTGGACAGAGGTCTTGGGTACAAAACTTGACAAGCCAGGTTTGGGTTCTGATGTGTTCCTGGTGCAGGAGTGACTGTGGGGTGGGAGAGGGAGCATTTGGAAGCTTTTGATGTTGCTGCTGCACCTATTCCCATGAGATTCACAATGGAGTCAATGCGCCTGTGGGAGACGATACACCTGACGTTGATGGTCTCCCAGGTGGAGTACTGGGGGTGGGAGGAGAATGAAGGATGAGATATCTCCCAGCTGGTACAGTGAGTTGGGAGGTGTGGAAAATCAAACAAATCCAATTGTATAGGCATAGACATGAGGTCGTTCTGGTAGCTAGAGGAAAAATGTCTTAGCCTTGAAGGGCCCTGTTCAGAGAAGGAGGCTATAGAGAATGGAAACCCATCTGGCAGGACCATCTGTGGTGGGGAAGAAAGAGTTTCCAAAGAGAAGCCGTTTATGCTGAGGTTGTGTGGCCAGGCTGTATAGAAGAACGACTTAGAGGCACCGGCCCAGAGACAAAAAACTGTGCCCTGGGACAATGGGTTCAGGAGAACAAATGACAGTTCTTCAAAAAAGGTGGAAGGGGAAGAGACATGGGGCGAACGATGTCCTGGCTCTGAGACACGAGTCTTGTACACGACACACTCGACAAGAACAGGAACCTGGGGAGTAAACAGTCACGCGCGGCCTCTTTGGAGGACATCAGCTGGGTTAGACCGGGCAGCAAGGCCCTGCCCGGAATGCAGCCCGCGGGCGCCAGTGCCGCCTGGGAGGCTTGGTGGATCCCTTAGCTTAGAAAAAAGGACCCCGGAGCTAGGGGTGGGTCTTCAACAAAGGGAGAGAGCAAAGCTGCCGACGGGAAAAAGAGCGGCAACCGAGCCTATAGGATCCGCGGGGCTGATCCCCCAACCCCCGGGAAACGTGAAAACGCCGTTTTACCTGTGTACTGTGGCCAGGCCCCGGACCCGCGTCGACGCCCACCGCAAGGGAGGAGCGCCGCGCCTACCCCGTGCTAGAAATACGAGCTGGAAGAAACCGGGCCGCAGGAACTTCAACAAGCTCAGCTCTCGCAGGACGCGACCGTCGTCCGCTGCGCCCGCCCCAGATTCAAATAACGAGAGTTGGCTTGGCGCAGCCAATCAGCGCCCGCAGGAAAGGCCCGCCCAGCCGCCGGCGGCCCGCCGCAGGCCACACTGGTCCCGCCCTCACGCGCAGGCAGTTCCGTTTCCGGGATTGAGGGCACAGTGGGAGCGTCGGGGCGTGTGGGAACCGTAGGCTAGCATCGCAGGCCGAGTTAGTTTGTCACCGTGGAGCCTACCGTCACCCAGACGATCTCAGGGCTGGCCGCGACTGCGGTCGGAGAGTAGTTCGCCCTGGCTCGGCTTTTCTCAGTTGTTAAATGGGACCAGCTGCAGTGTCTCCTCCGAACTGTTTGTAAGGGAGAAGCTGTACCCATGCGGGGGCGTCTGGGCGGCTCACAGCTTTTGGGTCAGCGCGGAGTTCCGAGAGTCCCCCCCCCCCCCCCCCCCGCCAAGAATGCCGGGGCAGCCTCACGAGACTCTGTCTCCCAGAGTGCTCTTCGGGTCACCTGACCGGGATATTGTCTCCCACAGTGCCCCGCGGGCAGACTGAGGAGGGACTCCATCTCCTAGAATGCTTTGCGGGTGTCTTGGCTAGGGTGGGCTTTCCGTCTCCCAGAATGCCCCGCGGGCAGCCTGACGAGGACTCCGTCTCCCAGGGTCCTTCGCGAGTGTTCGGTGGCAGCTGCGACAAGCTACCAACTGTCCAGGACTGGGCGCCGGTGTCTCTGCCCGCCGCTGAGGCGCGATGGACAGCCCTGAGGTGACCTTCACTCTGGCCTACCTGGTCTTCGCAGTGTGCTTCGTGTTCACGCCCAACGAGTTCTATTCGGCCGGGCTCACGGTTCAGAACCTGTTGTCGGGCTGGCTGGGCAGTGAGGACGCCGCCTTCGTGCCCTACCACCTTCGTCGTACTTCCGCCACACTACTGTGCCACTCACTGCTGCCGTTGGGTGAGCCTCCTGCGCTCGGGACGGTAGTTGGTGCTTAAATGGGCTCTTGGAGACTCCAAGGGTGAGGAGGCTCCCCGACGGAACCGGTGCAGAAGCCGGTCAAGAGCAGGTGCAAGCGAGCGGGATCTCTGCAGCCCAGGTTGTAAGCTGAGCGCTCTAAGGCAGCCTATGCGCTTCCGCGTTGAGAGGCGGCCGCCCAGGCACTGGCCTGCGAGTGATGCTCGGCTGGGGCCGGGATCCACTGTGCAGAATCGTTCGGCGTGTTTGCCATGTTGGACGATTTCCAGGAAAGGGCTCCTGTTGACTCATTGCAACAGGAGCTGGGGGTCTATCTGGGGAAGGTGGGTGTGGGGAGAGCAGGCAGAGGTTGAATACGTTCAAGGTTGAGTCTTCTTTGCCAGGCTAGGTCTATGGCCCTGTCCTGTGCAGCGGTACGTGGTACCCCATGGGCCAGTGGGACATCTAAGAGGCCCATTTGTCAGTCTCTTCGGAGGATAGGTTCGGGGAACTGCTGGGGTCTACCAGTGATTGAAGTCTAGGAACCCGATGAAGGAGACCTTTGGAGGATACAGGGACAGGGAAAGACAGGTGTGAGGGAACAGATGTCTGATGGCCTGTCATATTTGCACCTTTGGGCACGGCAATGATTGGTCCATGTGAGGACCTAGGGTCCTAGGGTCCAGGGAGATTGGAGGCAGATGTGGTGAGAGAAACACTCAGGTCTGTTTTGAGAAGAAGGTGTGTTGAGAATCTATTGGAGAACTGGAGATGGAGCTGGCGTGAGCAGTTGTTTGGTTTGGAACCTAGTTCCCTGCAAGGCAGATAAAGAAAGTGGAGCTCTGAGGCAGGACTCACTGACCAAGGGCTGTCTGGTTGGTTTTAAAACCCCCCTTAGCTGTACTCATTTCATGGGCACTCCCATGCCTGAACAAGGATCCCAAAGTTGCTAAGCACAACCCGCTCAGGGAGGTCATATAGAGAGCAGGCATAACCATAACAAGGTTTTTTTTGTTTTTGTTTTTGTTTTTTGTTTTAAACACGGATGAGTTGGCTAAAAGAAAACATTTATATTGGCTTTTGCAGATTGGCGTGTGCCCAAACACTACCTTGCTGTCTACTTTATAGAACATTTTGATGTCCAGGTTGTTCCTTGTTGGGCCAACAGGGCCCTAAAATCGGTTTCATTGTCCTTGCAACATGCCCTATCATTGAGTACTTGCTTTCTTGTACAGTGCCCCAGCTCTGTTGGGCTATGTTAGAGGAGGCAAAATTGAGACCAAGATATAGCCCAAGGAACTGTCTCAGGTAGGCCAGTGGTCAGTTCTATGCAAAGTCACTGTGCTTCCTTTTGTTTTTCTAGGACTTTTTTTTTTTTTCCTAGACTTGTTTTTGTGTAGCCTTGGCTCTCCTAGAACTAGCTCTGTAGTCCAGGCTGGCTTCCAATCCACCTGCCTTTGCCTCCTGAGCACTGGGATTAAAGGGGTGTGCCACCACCACCCAGCAACTTGAATTTTTTTCTACTTGGCTATTTCTGTGAAGTTGGTAGTAAATTGAAAACATTTCCTCTAGTATTTGGTACCCCTGCTGTGGCTAAGGGCTGAGACAGGCCTGCTGTGGAGGTGCAGGAATAAGAGCAGCCTGTCCTGGGAGCTGACTGCCTGAGGTGACCAGGGCAAGGCTCGGGGCTGCTAATAAAAAGGAAGTAGCTCCTCCCTTTCCCCAGCACAGGGATAGCATTGTGCTCTTTATATGGGTCACCATGGGAGAAAGATAGCCCCAGGAGTCTGGATTTGTCCTGAGATGTCTTTTCTTCTGCAGGCTACTACATGGGGATGTGTTTTGCAGCTTCAGAAAAGCAGCTCTACTCCCCTAGTCAGGCCTCAGAGGCCTGGCAACTTTTCCTTCTCCTGGCTGTGACCCTTCCCCTTGTCTCCTGTACTCTGATCTACTACTGGTCCTGGGATAAGTGGACTCGACACCCACTGGCCCAAACCCTGGCCCTCTATGCCCTTCCACAGTCGGGCTGGCAGGCAGTTGCCTCTTCCATCAACACAGAGTTCCGGCGGATTGACAAGTTTGCTACAGGGGCGCCTGGTGCCAGAGTGATTGTGACAGACACATGGGTGATGAAGGTGACCACATACCGTGTGCATGTGGCTCAGCAACAGGGTGTTCACTTGACTGTCACAGAGTCTCGGCAGCATGATCTCTCACCAGACTCAAACCTGCCTGTGCAGCTTCTCACCATTCGTGTGGCAAGCACCAGCCCCGCTACACAGGCCTTTGATATTCAGTAAGTGCATGGTGGTTATGGAGGGCAGAAGACGGTTAGGAGGTGCTGAGGGTAGAGCTCTGAGGCACTCCTGGGGCCTATACAACATTAGTCAATTCACCCCTTTAGTGTCATCTTCCTTCAAGACCCCTCTTGCCTTCTGCTCTCTCTTTGTTGCTCCTTCTGCTCTATCATTGTATGCTCATTTTCTTGGGATGGCGTAGGAATGTAGTTTGGTGGCACCTTAGCTCCAGGCTCTTCCTATCCTCTCTTCTGGGGAGGAGTGAACACTGAGTCTGTGGACTTTGCCTTCATGGCCATCTTTAGTGGCTACTTCACTGAGGTGGTTTGTTTTACCTGGCCCTGCCTGCTTTTGGTTCTGGGTGTCTTTAGGTTGTGGACCCACGGGCAGATTGGCTTAGCTCATCAAGCCATGCCTCTTGCAGGCTGAACTCAGCGGAATATGGTGAACTGTGTGAGAAGCTCCATGCCCCAATCCGAAGTGCAGCCAACGTGGTCATCCGCCAGAGCCTGGGTGACCTCTTCTTAGAAACGTTTGCCTCCCTGGTGGAGGTCAACCCAGCCTATTCAGTGCCCAGCAACCAGGTGGGGGCTAGCCCAAGTGTGAGAGTGAGTGGTATTCCTCCTTCTCCCGGGACCATCTTTTAGGCCTTTTTGTAACCCCCTTTGTTTCAACTACTTGTCAATAGGAGCTCGAGGCCTGTATAGGCTGCATGCAGACACGGGCCAGTGTGAAGCTGGTGAAGACCTGCCAGGATCCAGCGGTGGGCGAGTGCCAACAGTGTTACTGCCGACCCATGTGGTGTCTCACTTGCATGGGGAAGTGGTTTGCCAGCCGCCAGGATCCCCAGCACCCTGACACTTGGCTGGCCAGCCGTGTGCCCTGCCCCACTTGCCGTGCACGCTTCTGCATCCTGGATGTGTGTTGTGTACGCTGAGCATCATACCATATTCTGTGTTTCTACTAGCCAGTTATGGGGAGCGGCTAAAGCTCCTTGACCTCTGCAAAAGGTTCTAGTTAAAGCACACACTTATCTATAGCCACTCTCTGCCTTGAGTCTGTGGTCAGTTGAGGAATTTGATTTGGAAGAAATTCTTATGGAAATGCCCTATCCCTGGACCTTCCACATCTTCCACATAGAATGCTCCAAAGCCCCAGGATATTGATGTTTGGCCTAAGAGCCTTCGTATGGCCAGTTTGCCTTAATTCTATTACAGAGCATACTTGTCCCTCAGTTCCAAGCCAGACCTACATCTGTCCAGGCCCTATGGTGTTGGGTGGACACTGACAGTTGAGTCACCAGGGTGACACTAATGTAAAGTCCTTTTCTAGAGTATCCTGGTGGCTGCAGCCAGCCAGGGACCACTTCTGGGTAGAGAGCCAGGTACCACAACCTAGGGCCAGGCCAGAGTGCTCTCCCAAGCTACTCATGAGCGTTGCATATGGTTTCAAGGGCCCACAGTGCTTTTGGTGTCTTGTCTTGCTTCTCTGGGAGGTGGGGGCAAGTCGACTTCTGGCCTTGGGAACGGTTTTAGGGAGCCAAGGACCAGAGAGCTGTGGCTCTATCTAGAAAGAAACCCATCAAGGATGCAATACAGGGTTAGCCATAGCCCTTGTGGGTTCCCTGGATGAGGTGAGGACGGACATACTTATCTATGGTGCAGATGGGAGGCTGCCTGTTAATCTCATCTCTGACACAAGTGTAGCTGATTTGGGGAGGACCACTCCTTTAACGTGTGGCCCTGAAGCACCTACATTTGGCTGTTGAAAGCAGTAGCGA